ATTACTAAAATAAAAATACATTACAAGTAAAATAGTATCCTCAAGGTATCAAAGGTAAATATACTCATGATGCAAACTAGTCCCACTCAGGTTGTGATGTTGAACATACACACATTTTTTAGTAATATAATACTTTAAAGATATGTTAACCTGGAAGCAGCATGTTAATAATGTCATGGTGCAGCTCATTTCAACACCTCTACCTTCCAAAGAGCAGTTTAATCTACTATAACACATTTAGAATCCAGACTATGTGGATGTTATGTTGTGGAATAATAAGTACAGTAGCTGATTGAATGCACTTTGATATTATTAGTAAATTATTCCTAATTCTATTGTTGATACATGACAAAATGATGTGACTCAAGTGAGAGAGCAGCTTAATTTGCTTGTAATTGTCATTTAGTGCTTTGTATAAACCAAGCATAAATTACAGACGGCCACAAAATATTTAGAAAACCTTGCATAGGTCCAAAATTCATGGCAGAGTGAGAAATGGAGCAAAAGGGTTCTGGTGGATATCATCTTTGTTAGTTTTATGTTTTAATATTATTTCTGTTTATTTAAATGTGTATTTGTTTAATCTAGACATGTGTTCTGTTTTTGTCTTTAAGTCTCAACTACAACTGATCCTTGATGAGTATTTTTCTCCCTTGAGAAAGTTCCATCAAAGTGTCTGATAACCTTCACCATGCATCCAGAATCGCGACTGGACAAGCTCTACTGAATAAAGCTGGTCATTACCCTGCAGTGGCTTCACAGGCGCAAGTCCGATTTTTGACTTGTTGATTTTAGAATTTATTATTTAGGGAGGAAGCCCTGAAAGACGATGAGGCCCCTGTCAACAGCTTAGCAACAGCTCTGCCCCACTGACTACGCATTATTTCTTCATGGCATCATGACAAACGTGTTAGGCTTGTTAGGAATGCTCTTGTTAAATATGGACCGGTAATAAAGCAAAGTGACGTTATCCAATACCTGAATATATTTGAACAATCTCAAAACTGGAAGCAAAATGTGCTTGAATAATTGAAGTGACAGCAGGCACTGTTTGTGTCGATTCTATTACAATAATAATGCATCAATTAGACTTTCAATGAGTGAACAATAAAACTTCTTATTGTTGTATTAGTAAATTCAGTTCACAAGGTGGCAGTGTTGTCTTTTTTATTGATTTTAATTCCAGTGTTTAGAGATAATGAGAAAACAGTGAGAGCAATGGTTTTCTGAAAAAAGATTGCATAAAAGAGAATTATAGGAGCCTGTTTTCTCATTTCTAAAAGGACAACATCGTGTATAAAAAGCTATAACATCCATTTAGCATAAATCCTAGACTCAAACTTCTGATATTACACCCACTTTGATTTGTGTGTCATGATTAGTTAATTCTAAGCAAATTAGAAATTTAAGACAAGCATATATATACGTTTTCAAGGTTGAAATGAAATTTATAGAATGGATAAATTAGAATAGCAAACACTATGGGAGCATGGGATTTCACAAACAAAAATGGTGTGATCTTAGCAGCCAACCTTATCAAACACATATGGTTCTGTTTTGCGGGGAGACTAATGAATTCATGACAGTTTTCAGAGTCAACCTCCATAATCAGATACAGTTAATTATGTAGATCATAAAACTTTGAATATAAAAGCAAATCTTTGAAATCTATAGAAGAACCGTGGCTGTCAGCTTTATTTGTATTTCAAATATGGCAACAATTTGACATTTATGTTTATATATTTGTGCTCCAAACAGTTTCAGGGGAGGCTAATGGAATGGAAAAGAAAAAAAAGAATACATCAGTTATCAAAAGAATGTCTAGATTACTTAAATTTGTGTAAATTGGTTAAAGAAATGTCAGTTTTAATGAATTTTACTGTATCTACCAATTTCCAATTTCCTCTGAACTAAAAAATGACTACAGCATATTAAGTCTCCTACAATGTCCGATCAAATGATCAGTATCCTTCTGATGACCACTGTGTTGTCACGGTTACCTCGCTCGGATGTGGTGGAAGCAGCTTAAATATGAAAAAACTGACCACAGCATATTCCTGAGCTATCCAGAGATCCTGATGGAAATTTCAATGAAACTAAAAGCGTGTCATTGCTTCGTCTGACTGTGACGAAGAGCTGCACCTGCAGGAGAAGCATCAAGGGCTCGTCTGGATATTGTATAATATCTCATGGGCTCAAAGGGGGAACGCTGCCTGGCTAACCTAAGATGGTTCCTCCTCTGTAGCTTTGAAGCTCAAACAATAAAAAGCCAAAACCTTCATGAAGAGAGTTGTGCAGTTGTGTCACATTATTGATGTATTTATGCCATGATTGAATCTTGCATTTAAATGCACCATCTGTACCATTCTGACACCATCGCACCATGCCCCCCCCACACACACACACACAACAAGGACTGATACTGAAAACCACCTGAACTCTTTTTCAATGCAAACATGTACCAGTCAATACTGCTGCCAAACTAAACTAAACAAACTAAACTCATGTGATCACAGTAAGGCAAAGATGTATTGTTTTGTGGTAACTGGACATTTTTGCATCCATCTGTGCTTTTCCTTTTTAACAGAACGTCAAATTGCAAAGATGTTGCATTCAAATAATCGAAAACATCTCATCCTGTGTCCTCACAAACCATTTTTTCTTGATGGAAAATGATTTAATATAAACCCTGATTTTACCAAGAGAACAATGAACCCCTTCTTGTTGCATCAATAAACTCTGCTCACAAGGAGGCAGTGTTGTCTTTTTAATTTAAATTGTGTTATAACAGAGAAGCCTATGTAAATCAAATATATTCAGTCTTTTGCCTGAACTTCACAAATAACTGCATAAATGATGTGGTACAAAAAAAAGCAAATTCTATAAATGATACTGTTGTGCTCCGGTACATATCTTAGAGATTCATGGCTAAATGGAT